GCTATTGCTATAGCAATAGCCCTACATGGCATCGGACCTGGGTACCTGAGAGACCGCCTCCTGCCGATTACCTCCCATAGACCGATTAGATCTCACAGGTTAGGTCTCCTCCGGATTCCATCTGCCAGCCAATGTCGGCTGGCGACTTCCCGGGGGAGAGCCTTCTCTGTTGCAGCTCCAGCCCTCTGGAATGACCTCCCCGTGGAGATCCGGACCCTTACTACCCTCCCGGCCTTCCGCAAAGCCACCAAGTCCTGGCTGCTCCAGCAGGCTGAGGGGGCATGTGAAATATCCAGCCCCATGGAAAATGTGAATGTTGCATATTTTTAAAGTGTTGTCTATTTATCCCCCTCTTCTTGTCTATTGTGAGCTGCCCGGAGTCCTTCGGGAGTGGGCGGCATACAAGACAAATAAATAAATAAATAAATAAACAAATAGCACAGCAAATCAAACCAGTTGGGAGGATGCCAGGAACTCAGATAAGCATTTAACACCAAATGAAGTCAGTGTTTGTTCCCGACAGCAGCAGCCCCTCCCATTTGCCTTTCCTTTAAACTCCATCCCCAGGTGTGCCTTGTGAAGGGAATCGGGGCCCTTTCTTCCCTCGTAAGCCACACAACCCACGTTGCTCTCTTCTCCGTCCCCAGCTCTGCCCAACCTGACTTTGCCCTTCCCCAGTTTCCTCCACAGCCAATGGAGCCACTCTCCCATTCTCTGACAGCTGTTCATCTTCCATCTCAGAGTCCAACTATTGATAGGGGCATGACAGGATGTTTGGGAGAAAGTCGGAGCAATAAAGGAGAGTTAGAACTGTTCTCTGGCTGTGTTGCTTCCGTGGCTTGCCCCGGGTCATCACAGAATGTGGGTGAATAGATGGGTAACACTTTGGCTCCCAGTAACTTTTCACTATATATGCCCCCCTGGCTGTTTCTTCTTTTCATTACAGTCCTTCCCACAGTCTGCATTCAGCATCAAACCAAGGGTGTTGGGGAGGACTCGCATGAGAAAAAGAGGATGTACATTGTACCCAGGGGTGGATTCCGGCAGAAACTACTGCCGGTTTGCTCAGGAGTACGCCACATGCCCCTGCGCACTGCACACACACATGCACAATACAACTAAAATTGCAGAAGCAAAAAACAAGATGGCGGCACCTATGGCGCCACCAGGAGAACTGGTTCAAGGGTGTGGCAGGCCTGGGTCATTGCCGCTTCCAGCAACCCAGGTCGCCAAGCTATTAGCGGTTCGGCCGAACCGGTAGAAACCCACCCGATTGTACCGTAATAATTGGTACTGTGAATACCATGAAAAAACCGTGAGCTAATCAACTTAAAGCAATTTTACGCTCACCTGCAAGGAATTCATCCACAACAGATTCCGGGGGTACAGAAGAGTTGCATTCCAAGGCAGGGAGATTGGACGCCTCTGTATGCAAAGAGCAGAATTGCCGAAAAAGTGAAACTGTTACCCGCCTTTCTAATTTGAGGCAGGGAGACAGGATCAAGATGGGTAAAACTAAATTGGTGATGGACGAATGGCATATCAGAGTCTTTTCCTTGTGTCATCAAAGGAGGATCGGTGGTAGCTCAACGGTGCAACTCCAAGTTGCTGCAGATCAACTTCCTACTGGTCTCTTTCTTCCCAGGAGAGAACAGATTGGGAAAGGAGATTGTATTCTCTCCCTTTCCCTTCCCAGCTTCCTTTTTTCTTCTGGCACTGAAGAACTACGGGGCAGGGTCAGTCCTCACTGGACATTTGGCTATTGTTTTTTTGCAATTTTTAATTTTAATTTAATTAAAAGGCAAGATAAGAAACAATGGATGGAAATTAATCAAGGAGAGAAGCAAGGAGAGTTAAGGAGAACCTTCCTAACAATGAGAACAATGAACCAGCGGAATAGTTTGCCTACAGACGTTGTGGGTACTGGAGTTTTAAAGAAAAGACTGGACAGGCACCTGTCTGAAATGGTATAGGGCAGGGGTGTCAAAATCAAGGCCCGGGGCCTGGATCCCACCCGTGGGGTGCTTAGATGTGGCCCGCAGGGTCACTCTGGAGACAGCGAAGGACCAGCCTGCAGTGCCTCTGCCAGCGAAAACAGAGCTCCATTTTTGCTGGCAGAGAGTTGCAGGAAAATGTTGCAGCCAAATACGAAGCTCGGGAGCCTGTTTTCGCTGGCAGAGCGGACTGCCATAGGCACCGCAACACAAGTGATGTCAAGCTGGCCACACCCATCCCAGCCCCCTCCCCCCAAGGTCAAACACATCCCTGATGCGGCCCTCAATGAAATCAAGTTTGTCAGCCCTGGTATAGGGTCTCCTGTTTGAGCAGGGGGTTGGATTAGAAGGCCTCCAAGATCCCTTCCAGCTGACTGAATGATTTTCTTCAGGGTGGGGGTGGGGGAGAAAGCTTCTTAATGTTTCTGTTGTAACTGCAACTCCTTATAATTCTCTTGAGTTACAAGGAAGAGCCTTTCACTGCCCTCATCTCCTCTTCCCCTCCCATCAAACGAACTGGGCTGTATTTATACTTAAATAATTTTTTTTCAAGTGAAATCTAAAATCCTTTGGAATCCTTTGGGATAGTCATTGTATTTCGTTGATTCCCTCCTCCATCCCCTTGAAGATTTTCATTCAAACACTTATTGGAAAAGGTGTCAAATGTGACCCAACAGCACTTGGGAAAGTTTCAGGGGCAACAGAGGTCATTGCCACTCTCCCATTCTTTGGGTCCAAGCCTTTCTCAGTCCTCTGAGCTCCACATCATTGTATTTTCTTGCAAAACTACATCAAAATTGCTTCACAAAATCTACTTACGCCTCGACTGTTTAAATTTTTGTCAATTAGAATTGCCCCCTATAATTACTTGACCAACTCCTGTTTAAACACTCTGATCCTCTGCATCCCTAAAACTATTCCAGATTATTTATTCCCCTGCCTCTATTTTCCTCTATGGTTTTCTTTTTAAGTTAAACGTGGCTGATATTAACAGCTCATGCATTTTTGTATAAAATAACCTTTGTTTGGCAGGTCATTTTCTCCTTCTGACGAAGGCACAATTAACATGGAAGGAATTAATCATGCTACTAATATTCTCCTCTATCTGGAATAGAGCTGGAAGGGAATTTAGAGGACTTCTAATCCAACCCCCTGTTCAAGCAGGAGACCTTATACCATTCCAGACAAGTGGGTGTGCAAGTCTCTTCTTAGAAGCCTCCAGTGATGGAGCACCCACAATTTCTGAAGGCAAGCTATTCCACTGGTTAATTGTTCTTACAGCTAAGATTTCCTTAAATCCAGGTTGCCTCCATCCATTTTTTTTTAATCGTCCTGCCTTCAAGTGCTTTGGAGAATAGGTTGATTTCCCTCCCCCTCTTCTTTGTGGCAGCCCCTCAAATACTGGAATCCTGCGATCATGTCACCCCTTAGTCCTTTTTTTTTTTCTAGACTAGCCATACCCAGTTCCTGCAGCCCTCTTTACCTTGATCTTTAGCCCTGCAAGCTGAAACATCTGACTGGATCTGCTGTTTCTCCTGCATCTCCTGTCTGAACTTCTCTTGAAGCTGCTTCTGCCGTATCTTCCGAAGGTGAGTTGCGTCGTAATCCAAGGGCAGCGAGATCCTGTGATAACAGAGTATAAACCAAGGGGGATTATCCCTCTAGTTCAGGGGTGTCAAACTCGATTTCATTGGAGGATGCAACAGCGTTGTGTTTGACAGGGGGGCTGGGGGGGGGTATGGCCAGCTCGACGTCACTCATGTTGGGGGTACCTGTGGCAGCCCAAGTGCTCTACCAGCAAAAACAGGCTCCTGAGCTCTGTTTTTGGCTGCGATGGCTTCCTGAAGCCTGCAGCCCTCCTGGGCTCCGTTTTTGCTGGCATAGATACCGCGGGCCGGTCCTTTGCTGCTTCCTTAGATCTGGCCTCATTGGCCAGATCTAAGCACCCACGGGCTGGATCTGGCCTCCGGGCCTTGACTTTGATATCCCTGCTCTAGTTCATTAATAACATTTCCTCATGCTGGATGGCAAGGCATGTTTATGGCATATTAAATTTCAATTCCATGATTCTTCTAATAATAGCAACAACAGTTAGACTTATGCTTAACAGTCCCCTCTAAGCGGTTTTACAGGGTCAGCCTATTGCCTCCAACAATCTTTTACCGACCTTGGAAGGATGGAAGGCTGAGTCAATCTGTCAGGCCTGGAAGAAATCTTTTACATTTGGGCCTTCAGGTCTTCCATGCAGTAGGAAAATGGGAGGGGGGATTATATGGCGTATGGGAGATGTATATCCTTTCTCAGAGCGTCAAGGACATCTTGCCAAGCACCTGGAGTGGCGTGACTGCGAGGCATCTCCAGTTGGGACGGTGCCTGATTGGGCCATGTGACAGACATGTGGGTGGTGGGGCAGGGACTTGGACTTTCACTTGGGTGGGGACAACCGGGAAACTTTCAGATTTGAGTTTTCCCAGATGTGCCAGTATGACATCTCTAATAAAATGGAACTTAGAAGAAACTCAAGCCTTCTTTCGTTGGGGGGTCTTACTTGGCACAGTGACACAACCTTGATAACATACTTAATAACTTACTGAAGATCCAGGACTACCAGTATAAACTCATGAGAGAGGAATTAATGCTGAATAACAAATTCTGAAAGCAGAATGTTAGTACAACCAGAGGGCATCAGACTGGAAAAAGCTGCCATAGGATATATCGTATTTTTCGGACTATAAGACGCACCAGAGTATAAAATGCACCATGATTTTGAAGAGGTAATTTTTTTTTTAAAAAAAGTGTTTGCACTCTGCAGGCCTCCCCAACCATCTGCACGCCTCGTTTTTTGCAAAAAAATAAAAGGGCATGCAGAGCTTTGGGAGGCTTGTAGAGGGCTCCTGGGAGTTGGAGGGCGAAAAATACGATAAAAAAATCGGCTCGTTTTTCGCAAAAACTGGCCGTTTTTTGAAGGAAAAAAAAGGGGGTATGCAGAGCTTTGGGAGGCTTGTAGAGGGCTCCTGGGAGTTGGAGGGCGAAAAGACGAGCAAAAAATCGGCTCGTTTTTCGCAAAAACTGGCCGTTTTTTGAAGGAAAAAAAAGGGGGTATGCAGAGCTTTGGGAGGCTTGTAGAGGGCTCCTGGGAGTTGGAGGGCGAAAAGACGAGCAAAAAATCGGCTCGTTTTTCGCAAAAACTGGCCGTTTTTTGAAGGAAAAAAAAGGGGGTATGCAGAGCTTTGGGAGGCTTGTAGAGGGCTCC